CCTTCCCCTCTTTTGCAATGCAGGGGGGGGGCCCGGTTCGATCCCCCCCCTGGATTGCGGTTAGGGGGGAGGGTGCCCAGCCCCCAGGGGAGGGTGCGGTTGGTGTTCGGGGGGCAGGGGAGGGCGGTTAGGGGGGCCGGTGCCCAGCCCCCCCCCTTCCCTGGAAATGGCAAAACGAAATCTCAACCGATTAGAACCAAATCCAACCACTTTGGTACTAATTCCAACCATTCTGGTGCTACGTACTTCCAACCGCTTTGTTATGAATTCCAACCGCCCTCCATGAGAAGCCCCACGGGCGTCTTAAAGGCGTGGCGCTCCAGGTTGCGCCAGGCGCTGGCCAGGAGCCGTCTGGGTCGCGGGGAGTCTGCTCCCACTGCCCGCGGGATGCGAGGGAGTTTGCCCATTCATTGGTTCACCTGATTCACCCTCTCCTACGGATTCTCCTCCTCCCCCCCATCCTCCCCTTCCTCCTCCTCCTCCTCCTCCTCCTCCTCCTTTATCCCCCCCTCCTCCTTCTCTTCGCCCCTTCCTCTTCCGCCTCCTCCCCCTCCTCCTCTTGCTCCACCCCCTCTCTCCCGCCAGCTCCTTCTCTCTTACGCCCTTGAGCCTTCGGACCCCTAAGCCCTTGAATCCTGAAGCCCCTGAGCCCTTGAACCCTTACGCTGTGAAGCCCCTGAAGCCCTTAAGCGCTTAAACCCTTGAGCCCTTGAGCCCTTGAGCCCTTGCATCGTGAAGTCCTCGTGCCCTTAAGCACTTGAGCTCTTGAGCCTGTGAAGCCCGCAATTCCTTCAACAGTTCAACCCTTAACCATTTAAGCCCTTCAGCCGCTCTGCCCATGGGGGCCGCGGGCCGTCGAACCTTTGAGCCCTTGAACGCTTGACTCCTTGAGCCATTGACCTCTTGCGCCCTTGAGTTCTCCACGTTTCAGCCCTGAAGCCCTTCGGCCCTTGAGCCCTTCAAACCCTTGCACCTTTTGGCACATAAGCCCTTGGCCTTTTGAACCCTAAGCTCTTGAGCTCTTAAGCCCTTGAACCCTTGAGCCGTTGATCCCTTCAAGCACTTGAACCGCTAATTGAGCTTAAGACCTTCAAACCCTCAGACCCCTAACCCCTCAAGGTTTTAAACACTTAACCCCTCGAGCCCTTGAGCCCTAAAGCTCTTAAGCCGTAAGCAGTTAAGTCCTTGAGCCCTTATGCCCAAGCACCCTTACAGCAACAGAGGTGCAACTTCCAACCCTGGCAATCATGTTAGGTTTTGGATTACATGTGCAAGCGTATGTTTTCGTTTGTTTTGGGATATGCCAAGATCGCCTCACAATTAGAACCAGGTAGTGAGGTTACTTTGACGGTTCGGATTATATGGGAGTTGGTAGGAGCAACTACCAATTTCTTGAGATTAGCTCCTGCTGGTCTTTTCTTGAGATTAGTCCCAGTCGGTTGGAATTGTCGACGGGTGATGGTTCCGATGCTACGCGTGGCTTTGTCCCCCCGCCCTTGGGGATCAGGCTCCACGGCGCTGTCAATACCTGGCACGATGCCCCTTGCTGGGGCGGGGCGCAGCGTGCCACACGGCCCTGGCCGTTGACTGTGGCTGTTTTCGCCCTGGCCTTCGCTCGGACCCGGACACAGCTTGGCTTGGTATCCCTGGTGAACTGGTCCCCTCTTCGTGACGTCACGTGACTCACGGGCGCTTGGCCAGAGGTAATCTCAGCCTCCAGCTGCCTGCTGCGCCGCCCCTCCTCCGCCCCTGGCGCCCAGTGGTATCCGCGATGGCTTCTGTAAGCCTGGTGAGGCACCCTGGCGCCCAGGTGGCTCGCACGTCGACCAGCTCTGGCAAGAATGCTTGCGTGTTCCTGGCCTCTGGTCCTCAGACACCGCCACAGCCTGGCCGTGTCTGCAGCTGCCGCCTGCTTGGTGGGACGCGCCCCTACGTGGATAGCTCAGGAGTGGTGTAGCTCTTGTTCAGCCATGTGAGGTTGTCACTGTTGGCATGCAGCACCGTCACGTTGGACTGCTTGCGCAGCCCCGCGCTTTGCCACGCTCGGTGGCACGACTTCCTCTGGCGACTGGCGCGACAGGGTACCATTCGTTCGTCTTCCCGGTGGTCTCGCCTCTGGGATGGCTGCACTTCGGCCGCCTGGCTCACCTGGCAGCTCCTGCAGTTTGCCTTCAGCCCCCGGCTCAGCGTCCCTCGGCGGCAGCTTTGGCAGCCGTGAGTGCGCTCTCTGGGTAATTAGGTTCCGCCCGTAGCCTGGGTCGACCCTTGACGCTGCCTGCGCCTTCGCTTGCGGCTGCGACAAAAAATGTATCCCCACCAGCCCATCCAGAAACGATGCGCAGGGAAGTTGAAGGGATCAGGGAAGCGGGGGAGCATGTAGAAAAACAAAGGGCGGGGGAAGCCGTCATATACCCCAAAGGGGGGATGATGGAGGAGGAATCGTCGTCGTCATCGTCGGAGGTGGAGGAGGAGGAGGAGGAGGAGGAGGAGGAGGAGGAGGAAGAGGCGGAGGACGGGGAGGAGGAGGAGGAGGAGGAGGAGGAGGAGGAGAGGAGGAGGAGGAGGAGGAGGAGAGGAGGAGGAGGAGGAAGAGGAGGAGGAGGAGGAGGAGGAGGAGGAGGAGGAGGAGGAGGCGGAGGAAATGGAGTAGGGCGAGGACGAGGAGGGCGAGAAGGAGGGAAAGGAAGAAAAGGAGGGATAACTGGGTACTTCGGGCATCCTCTTGAGGCCTCGTATTGGGTCTGTTTGGAGCCTCTTCGGGGCCTCTGAGGGCCGTTTGGGCGCCTCTTGGGGCTCTTTTGGGGGGTTGTTGGGGACTTCAGGGGCGGTCGTGGGGGGCCATCTAGGAGGGACATCGATAAAACAAGAGGGGGGGGTTCAATTCGCCGCCCCCTCGGGAGCACTGAAAATCGCCTCCTGGACCCTTCTGGGAGCGTTTTGGGCGCTTTCGGGCCGTCTTGGGGCTCTCCTAGGCCTCTCCTGGGGCTCTCCTGGGCCATCTTGGGGGCGGACTTGAGGCATTTTGGGTTATCTTGAGCCATCTTGGAGGTCATCTTGGATTGTCTGAGGCCCCCTTGGAGCCATGTTGGGCGAAACAATGCCTTCTGACACCTCGCGGGGCGCCCGTTCCAGGTCGAGGGTCGGGGGTAGTGGGGAGGGGCAAACCCCTCCCCGAAGGGAAAGAGGGGGTTGGAAGAGGAGCCCCCTTAGGCCACCTACGCCTAGAGGGCTGGCGGGATTTGTCGCGGATGCGGCCCCCCCTGGTTTCTCACGGGCGCTGCATGGTTTTGGCCCCCCCCTTCTGGTTCCAACGTGCCAAGGTGTTTTCTTAAGGCAAGCATCCATTTCTCGAGACAGTTTCGTCAAGCTGTCTCCAGTGGCCCACGGACGCAAGAACGCCCTCAACAGGACCGTGCCCGCAAGACCTCCTGTGCACGGTGCCGGGATGGCAAACGCCCTTTTCGGACTGTTTCGTGGAGGTTAGTGACTTCGGTGGTCCACGGGCCAAAGACGAACTCGTGCCCTCCAGGACTGGTGCGCCTTCGGCTGCCTGGACCCTGCCCGCAGCGGCAGCGACCTGTACGGGAGCCCGCTGCGCCTTGGAGGCGCCGGCGGCATGGCGGGCGGCAGCGGGAGCCGGGCTTCCACCGCGCCGCCTCCGTCCGTCGGCCCCCCCCCCCCCTCCCCCGTGGCGCCCAGACCCTCGCCCCATGCGCCCTTGTGCTTCCTGCCTCCTCCGCCTTTCCCTGTGCCCTTCGCTCTGTCTTTCTCTCTCTCGCTCTGCCTCCCTGTGCCCCTCTCTCTCCCTCTCCTCCTCCGCCTGGCGCGCCTCTGCCCGGCACCTGCTGGGTGCTGGGGGGCCGGCCTGGTGCAGTCCTGTGCGTCTCGTCGGAGCGTCTGGACGCCCGGAATGGGCACGGAAAGGATGGATACGACGCCCAACAGCAGTTCTTGTTTATTCTGAACAGGGCTCGCTGTCCGCGCCGCCGCGGCCTGTGTCCATTCGAGACAGGAGGCCGCCCGCCCAACAGCGGCCGCTGTTGCTTTGGGGCAACACTTGCTGTTGGGCACTGTACCCATTCTTTCCGTACCCATTTCGGGCGTCCACAGAGCGTGTTTGCGGGTGCACCCGATGTGTCGTCTCCCGCCGCGTTCGCCGCGATCGGGGCGCACGTCGCCGGAGGAGTCGCGAGTGCGTGGCGTCCCCCGTGCCTGCCCGCTCGCCCCGCGCCTGCCCCGTGCCTGGTCACCGTGCCTGCCTGTGCCCGTCGTGTCTGCCTGTCTGCCTGTGAGCCTGCCAGTCCTCCTCCTCCTCCTCCTCCTCCTCCTCTCCTCCCTCCTCCTCTCCTCTCCTCCTCCCTCCTCCTCCCTCCTCCTCCTCCCTCTCCCCCTCCCTCCCTCCTCCTCCTCCTCCCTCCTCCTCCCTCCTCCCTCCTCCCTCCTCCCTCCTCCCTCCTCCCTCCTCCCTCCTCCCTCCCTCCCTCCTCCCTCCTCCTGCCAGTCCGTGCCGCTTGGCCGTGTCTCCGGAGAGCTATCCGCCCCACTGTCCCCCCTCCCGCTGAGGCGAGTGTCTCCCCGGAGAGCTTCATGGGGGCCCAAGACGTCTGGCCACCTCTGGTTCACGACCTCCCAGATCCCCACTTCAGGTCTGTCATCACGGCGTGACCTTCCCCACAGCTCGGTTCTTATTTCCTGGCCGTCTTTGACGGCTCGGGGCCAGGTAACTGACGCCCCCCAGGGGCTGGACGCGGACGCACCGTAGTCTGCGAGGCATCGTGGCCCTTGGATCGCGGACGCAGCGCAGTTTACAAGGGATCCTTGCCCTGGGAGCCCTGGGGAAGCCTGCTTCGCGAGGGATCGTGGCCCTGGGATGGCAGTCGCGCAGACGCAGCGTGATGTGGCACCGGGGCCTTGTGAGCGCGGCGGCAGCGTAGCTCACGTGTGAGGGTTCTCGCCTCCGGGTCAAGCGCCGAATTATCAGGAAGTGGCGGGTGGAGGGGGAGCGAAACGCGCTCTCCGAATACCTGTCCCAATCAAGGAAAGTATCGTTTTTTGCTGTGGGGAGGGGGGCTCTGATGGGCAACCTCTGCGGAGTGCTTCGTGGCCTTGAGATCGCGCACGCAGCGCAATCTATTAGGGATCGTACCCTTGTGGGGGCGGGCGAAGAGTAATGTACGAGGGATCGTGGCCCTGGGAGCGCGGGCGCAGCGTAATGACGCCAGCCCTGGGGACGTGAATCCCGCGTGATTCACGAGGGATGTTGTCCCTGTGAGCGCGGAGCTGGCGTAATTGGCAGGGGATCGTGGCCCTGGGAGCGTGACTCCCGCGTGATTTACCCAGGAGCGCTGCCCTGGGAGCGCGGACGCGGCGTAATTTGCGAAGGATCCTGGCCCTGGGGTCGTGGCCCTCGGGAGCGTTCCCTGGCACGCTCCCTGGCACCTCCCCTGGTCGCGCCGCGCGGCGCGCCCCCTGGCACGTTCCGTGGCGCGTCCCCCTGGCACGTTCGCCGGCACGTGCCCTGGCGCGTCCCCTGGCTTGTCGCGCCCTGGGAGCGCGGGCGCAGCGTAATCTAGTAGGGGTGATGGTGTCCCTGGGAGCGCGGGCGCACCGGGATTCGCGAGAGATCGTGGCCCTGGGAGCGCGGGCGCAGCGCAGTTCGCAGCGATGGGTCGTGGCCCTGGGAGCGCGGGCTCCGGGCAATCTGTAATAAAGGAGCATGGCTCCGGGGGCGTGGCGACAGCGTAAATTTACCGAGGAGCGCTGCCCTGGGAGCGGGCGCAGCGAAACTTACAAGGGATCTTGGTCATGTGAGCGCGGACCCAGCGTGACTCACGGGGGATCGCAGCCCTGGGCCTTGGTATGGGGCCACCTGCGAACCCCACCCCTACCCCCCACGATTTCTGAGGGGAAGGGTGGGGTTCACTTCGTTCAGGAGCTCCCGAGCGAAGTGAACCCCACCCTCCCCCTCAGAAATCGTGGGAGGTGGGGGTAGGGCTCGCATGTGGCCCCCCACTTGTGGGCGCGAGGGCAGCGTGACCTGGGAAGACTCGCGCCTTCGGGTCCAGCGCCGAATTTTCGCAGGACACGCCGGCGCTGGTGCTTCTGTCGGGTATTGCCAGGACCCCAGTTAAGGGGACCCGGTTAGTGGTAGGGCCCCGGAGCCTTTGAGGCCAGAATCACTAAACCAGGTTTGCCATAGCTGATGTTTTTTCGGGTGACGGCAAATCCGGTTGGTGGAAATGCGACGGGTGGGCGCCTCCAGTACAAATCACTAAACCAGGTTCCACGAAACCCAGTTTTGCCAACGCCCGCAAGGAGGGTGGAGGAAGAGAGAGAGGAAGAGGAAGAGGAAGATGAGGAGGAGGAGGAGGAGGGAGGAGGAGGGAGGGAGGAGGAGAGGGAGGGAGGAGGGAGGGAGGGAGGAGGATGGGAGGGAGGAGGGAGGGAGGGAGGGAGGGAGGGAGGGAAGGGAGGGAGGGAGGGAGGGAGGCAGGAAGGGGAGGAGGAGGAGGAGGAGGAGGAGGAGGAGGAGGAGGAGGAGGAGGAGGAGGAGGAGGAGGAGGGAGGAGGAGGGAGGAGGAGGGAGGAGGAGGAGGAGGAGGAGGAGGAGGGGAGGAGGAGGAGGGAGGAGGCTCGCCTCTCCGGATCGGCGGCGCGCCCGGGGGGGGGGGAGGAGGTGAGAGGGGGCGGGCCTTCCTCGACGACTCGGCAAAAGACATATCAGAAGGCGCGAGGGGTGCTTCTGAGAAGCCCCGTCGCCCTCTGAGAAGGCCTTCTCCCTCTCGCTTCCCCCTCCCCCGCTCGCCGCCGAGAAGCGCCAAAAACCTGGTCCTGATCTGTGTCGCGACGTGGGAGCTCTTGCTGCTTTCCCAGAGGCCGCAGATAGTTGGACGGGGCTAGGACGAGGACAAGTCCGCTCCAGAGCGTTCCAGAACGCCCTCAGAGATTTCCCATTGATTCTCGTCCGAGTCTATTCTCGTTTTGGCTTCGTCTTTCTAGGCCGCCCAGATGTGGAACGAGTAGATGGGGTCGGAGGATCGCGCCGCATCGCCGATGCATCGGCGATGCGGCCCGATGTTCTCCACGCCGACGTCCCTGACGCATCGCCGACGTCGCCGATGCATCCTTGATGCACCGTCGATTTATCGGTGATGCATCCGCGATGCGGCGCGATCCTCCGACCCCATCTACTCGGACACCATCTAGGAGGCCTCTAGTCTGAAATCGGCCCAAAGAAACCCAGACGGTCCCTGATCCCTTCCGCGCTGCGAGGGGCCGCGATTTTGCCCGCCGCGCCACCACAGGAGCAGCAGTGCCACGGAACCCCCGTCCATGCTCGGGTGGGGCGGCCGGGAGCTCGGGTCGCACGACGGCAAGCTGGAGCTCATGGGGCAACGTTGGGAGGGGGTAGTGATTCAGATTCGGCGGCGATCGAGGGGGGAGAATTGAGAAGGCCTTTTCAGGAGGAGGCGGGGCTTCTTCTCAGAAACACCCTCGCGCCTCAGAAGTGTTCTGTTGGAGTCTTCGAGGACGGCTCCGAACGCTCCTCAGAAGGCCGGGGGGGGATTGCCGAGCCTTCTGAGAAGGCCTGCCCCTTCTCACTTCCCTCCGGACGTTAGAGCTTGTTTCTCAAGGTCTTGGCGATACGGGCCGTAATCGGCCCTCTCCTCAAGCAGCGGCGAAGCGTCTTGGTTCGCCTATAACCCCACCAAACAATGTTCTAAGAACCTTTTGTGGTTCCCACGAAGTGTTCTTAGAACATGTCTGGCTGGGACTGTCTTGTTTTAGCACATCGGGTTTATGTTCTAAGAACATTGCTTTTGTTTTTAGAACACTTTTGGGTTCGAAGAACATGTCGTGGCATGACAATAGGAATGCGGGGACGGTCGGTCCCTGCTTGATCTCCCTCCCTCCCTCCCCCCTCTGGATGACGTCACGCTATTGTGCCGTCATTTGCAAAGACTGCCTACGGATTCTTCCAGGGTTTCCTGGAATTACTGGAGGCCCCCCCCTCCTGTGATACGATCGGGAGGGGCGATTTCCCACCCCTCCTTTGATCACGCCCGTCATTCGCCGACGACGTCCCCTTCTAGTAGGAGGGGGTGTCGTCGGCGAAGTCCGAACCCTACCCTCGCCGATCAACGGTTCAGGCAACTCGATGGGCGGCGGGGGTAGGGTTCGGAGTCCGTCGAACACGCGGCCAGATCCGAACCCTAACCCCGCCCCCCATCGATTCAGCAGAATCGATCGTTGGTTGGGGTAGGGTTTGGATGTCGACACCTGGGACAGGCTCAGGGGTCACTTATTGGCCACAATCGCCCATTCGTCGCCGGCAGGGGCCCGACAACCCACCCCGCCCAGGAGCGTGCGGATTCGCTATCAGGGGTCTGTCGGCGATGCATCGCCGATTCCAGCTCGATGTCTCCGCCCCTGAGCCGGTCCCCCCTTCGCGTTACCCCTCAGGAGAAGTCGGTCGTCTCCTTCCTGCTCGCCCACCGGTTGCCCTGGCTCCACCGCGAGGGCGACGAGGCCTGGGGCTCCCTGGCCTCAGCATCGTGCAACCTAGCCCCATAGCCCACTGGGCCATGGGTATCTCAACCCCACCAGCCCACCCTCTGAGGCTTGGACTTAAGTCGGGCGTGTCCCTCTACATGAGGAGTATTCAAAAGTATTCCGAACATAGTATGGGGACGATGTTTGATTCTTTTTGGCAGTTTTTGTGTATTGTAAGCATTTTCGATTTTTCTACAAGCAAAATCCGCCTGTGGGAGGACATGCCCGACCTAAGCTTGGACATGCCCCGCGGATCCTGAAGGAACGGGCGTGCATGATCCCGCCGTGCCTGCCTCCCCCCCCCCCCCCAAGACGGCATGGGTCCCAGGGCCTCGCGGGCCCCCCACATGGGCTGAGGGGACGGCGGCGACGGCGGTCGGCGACGACCGACGATGGCTGGACGGACGGCTGGATGGCGCCGACGACGACGACGACGACGGCGACGACGACACGGACGGACGGGCGGACGGCCGACGACGACGACGAAGACGGCGACGACGACGACGATGACGACGATGAGCGACGACGACGACGACGACGACGACGACCGCCGACCGACGACGACGACGACCACGACGACGACGACCACGACGACGACGACGACAACGATGATCACAACGAAGACCTTGACGGACCACGACCATGACCACGACGGCCGACCGCGACGACCACGACGATGGACGGACGACGACCGCGACCACGACCACAGGCATGACCACGACCACGACCACGGCGACGACGACAACGACGACAAACACGGACGGAGTGCCTCCGACGACCACGACACGGACGGACGGTTGGCCGACGATGACGACGACGACGACGACGGACCACGATCGTGACGACGACGACAACGACGTCTTCAAGGAACCATGACCACGAGTGCCGACGACGACGACGACGGACGGACGACGACCGCGACCACGACCACTTGCATGACAATGACCACGACCACGCCGACGACGACGACCATGACCACGACGTCGACGACGACGACGGAGGGACGATGACCGCGGCCACAACCACAGGCATGACCACGACCACGACCACGGCGACGATGATGACGACAAGGGCGGACAGAGTGCCGACGACGACGACGACCACGACCAAGACGACGACCATGACCACGACTGCCGACAGCGACGACGACGACGACGACGACGACGACGACGGGTGGACGACGACCGCGACCACGACTACAGGCATGACCGCGACTACAGGCATGACCGTGTTCACGACCACGGTGATGACGACAAAGACAAGGACGGCCGGACGGAGTGCCGACGACGACGACGACAACGACGCCGATGAAGACGACGACGACGACCGTCCACGACCATGACCACGGCGACGACTACGACGACAAGGACCGACGGACGGACGGACGGACGGACGACGGTCGCGACCACGACCACAGGTATGATCACGACCACGACCACGGCGACGACAACGACCGCGGACAAGGCGACGACGACGGACGGACGGACGGACAGACGGACGCCGACGACGACGACGACGACATCACACCCACAGGGCGGGGGGGTGACCCGTCGGTGCCCCATCCCATTAGCGTGGGGGTGGGGGGGGGGGCGGGCCCTGGACCATGCATCCCCACCTGTGCGGGGATGTCGGCCAGAGTGCCAAGGTCACGCCAGTTGGCACGGGGATCGGTGAGACGCCTCCTGTCCTCCTCCTCCTCCTTCTCCTCCTCCCACTCCCTCCCCGCCCTGCCCAAGGGTTTCCGGCAGGGGAGCCAAACGGGAGGAGAGGGTCGGGGCTGAAGGGAGGGAGGACAGCGCAAGCGGGGGTCAGTCAAAGCGCCGCATCTGGCAGGATCCTGCAGGGCCAGAGCTGCACTGACCCGGGCTGGGGTGCTGGATCCCGCAGGATCCTGCAGGATCTTGCAGGATCCTGCAAGGCCTGCCTGACCCCTGTCTGGAATGACCCAGGTCAGTAGTTCCCCGAGCCCAAAAGAAGGGAGGGGGAGGGTTTTGGAGGACGAACCAAACAGGGGGGGGGGGGGGGCTTCCGTCCTAGGAGGCCGAAGGGGAGGGGGGGTACAGTCGAAGCCGATGATAAGGATGGGTAGCCTTCCCCAGGGTACCCTTGCACCCTGTCCCTTCGGCCCATCCTTGATCCCCTTCTCTGGCGCGCCCCGCTCGAGCAAACAGCTTCACCGCGGGCGGCGGCCCAGGCCCTTGCATCCTGCAGGGGCCTCAAATGGGGGACCTCGGGGGAGCTCCATTCCCTCCCCCCTCTCCCCTCCTTGGAGCGCCTTCCCCCCCCCCTCCCCCCCTTCCAAACCTCCTTGCGTTGTGAAAACATCGCGACGGGAAGTCTCTCGCTTTTTTTTGGGGGGGTCTCCCGGGGCCCTTTACCGGGCCCCAGGACAGTCAAAAAAGGCGTCAGGATGAACAGCCCGTCCCAGGGAAGCGTAGGGGTCCAGACTGATGGGCCCACTTTCCACCACCACTACTCTAGGGATGATGATGATGATGATGATGATGATGATGATGATGATGATGATGATGATGATGATGATGATGATGATGATGATGATGATGATGATGATGATGATGATGATGATGATGATGATGATGATGATGATGATGATGA